TGTTATGTAGTCAGGGAGCTGTGATGGTGGGGATGGTGGGGGCTGAGGGTGGAGGGAGTGGGCAGCCCTGAGTTAAGATTTCTTCTCTGAATCTTAGTAGCTGTGTGAACTCAGACAACCTACACGATTCTGTTGCGCCTCAGTGATTTCTTGATAAACTAGGATAAACTTTTGCCTTGTGGGGTCGTGGTGTTGTGGATTATGTAATGTGCCCTCCACAGAACATGGATGCTCATTAAATAGTAGCTGTTTTTGTTATTGTCTGGTCATGGTGGGACTTAAGGATGGTGTAGAGGCCAGCATCCTAAAGCTTATTAGGGTAAGAGGGAGCCCTATGAAGTGAAGGGGTTCAGAACAAGTTCCCCAGAATATGCAGATTATTTTGAGCTGAAGACAAGGCTCAAGAGACTCAGAAAAAGTTTTCCACCTCCCCCTTAACGGCCTAAAAAAATTTTGATGAAATCTAATACAAAAGATAACAGTAAAGAGTGAGAGCTAACTATGAGGAACTGAGCAAGGACTGTTTATCTTTCTCTGTGTGTGCCATTGTCTCTGTGTGGCATGGCAAACATTTGCTTACCAAACATTTGCTCTTCCCATCTTCCTGGGAATTGACTTCCTTCCCTTTGAAGCCCTAGACACTAAGCCCTTCTGTTCAGCTCCAAATGCCATATAAGCCTCAATTGCCTGGCTGTCTTTGGGCCTCTCATGTCTACGGGAGGCTCCTGTATATACATAATTAAATTTGTTTTTTGTTTTCCTATTAATCTGCCTTATGTTAGTTATTAGATCAGCCAAAAGTACCTAGAAAGGTAGAGGAAACATTTTTTCCACCCCTACAGAAGCAATTAAAAAACGAGCAGATCCATTTTTAGAGGTTAGTAAGAGAATGACCTTCATCGTTGTAATAAAATTTTGTGTTTGATTTAGATCAACAGCTTAGAGAAGGGAATTGGACTGGAAGATGGCAGGGTCCTCTTTCTCCTTAGCTTACATGTTTCTTTTATCGGTTGTATCACTTGGTTTATAAGTATTAGGAAAAAGAATTTGATAACCATACTGTGCCTTAGTTTCTACACCTGAAAACTCGACATGACCTTTACCTTATATTGATGTTCTGAAAGATAAATGAAGGTATGTAGAAAGCTTTGAACTCTTGATGAGATAGTATTAGTAAATGTAAAGCATTACAGTGGTCATTGTGATTACAAAATGAGAATTCTCCTTTCCAGGAGTACGTGAGGAAGACAGAGAAAACTGCTGTATTGTATTGATGATTTCAAGGGAGTTCCTTTAAGACCACGAGATGCTGAGCAATTGACACTTTCAGGGAAAGGGACACTAAGCATTTTGTTGTTTTAAGTTTTAAAGTTACCCACGGGTGGGTGAAAGAGAAGTTTCATTCCAGGTGCTTTCGCAATCCAGTGGATTATATCCAAAAAGCTGTAGGGTCAGGCTGCTGACTTCTGCTTTCCTTCCCTGCTATAAGAAGGATGCTCGTGTGCTTTCATTTGATCACCACTCAGGTTCTTCAGGGTAATGAGAGCTGGAAGAGAAGCACCTGGGCCCCTCTCAAGAGCATTTCAGTTCCGTTCCCCACCCACGTTATGCGTTCAGCTTTGAGGGCCACGCCGCATCTCGTGGTCCTTCTTTGTTCTGCTGTTGAAAGCCCCAAAGAACAAGTTTACTTGACAAAACCGTGTTTCAAAATTAAAAATAAGTTTTATTCTTGTTTTCCCACACTGTGCTTTATACACACTGCACACAGGCCGCAGGAGGCAGGAAGAGAGACCAAAGTTCAGGCTGATATTTGACTCGTGTCTCAGGCTTGATAGCTGCTCGGAAGGCTGCTGGTGTCTGACCCCCACACTCGGAAGGTGTCATCGGGTAGCCTGCACCAGCCAGGATTTTAGAGCAAGAATCACCACCATTCGGTTTTCTCTTCCGCTGCGCATTTTCTCTTTTGTATACTGCTCTTCAGGGTCGAATTTGTCTGTGTTACATAAATGGAATCTTCTTCTGAAACTTTGAGGCTACGTCCAAATCAAAAGAACATCTCGTTTTTGTTACATCACCATTTAATGTGAAAAAACTGTTTTAGCACTGTGTTTTTTTACATTTCTTTAAATTTTATTTTTCAATTACAGTTTAAATTCAGTATTATTTTGTACTCGTTTCAGATGTACAGCATAGTGGTTAGGCAGTCGTGCGCTTTATAGGTTCCCGCCAATGTTTCTAGTACCCACCTGGCACCATACATAGTTGTTACAACACAATATTTCCTATGCTGTGCTCAGCATCCCCGTGGACTATTTTCTACTTCTTAATCTCGTCACTGTTAATTTAGCTTCTTCACCACAAATATTAGACACTGAGCCTGTAGCTGTTATCTTCACTTTATTTAAGATGCAGTGATCGAATCACGGTACTTCAAGTTTTGATCATTCCAGGGATAGTGTGTCCTAAACAAATGAATCTGGGTAAATTACCCAGGGGTGATCGGAGGACACACTGTGAAAGATCTCAAGGAAGAAAAGGCAAACGCTAAACACTAGTGCTCTCTGAACCTAACCACCAAAATTCTAATTTTATTTGAGCATTCTGTGGTCATAAAAAGCTACCTATTTTCTTGGAGGTATAATTCACAGTGGACATTTTAATATGTAAAACCCTCCCTGCTGGAAAGTTACAAGCATTAATCAAAATGCAATCTTAAGCCCTTCGAAGTAATGTAACAGAAGAGTAGAAAAGCACCAAACAAAAGGTATGACATTTATTTTTACAAAGGCAATAAACATGACATGGGTGATATAAACTTCATTCATCTATGTCCTACTTTTGAGCTGTGTCGCTGTCTAAAATATTAGTTTCATATGTCTAGTTCCTTTCCTCTGTAATGTAATGATTTTTTTTAAATGTTTGGGTTGGCACCTTTTGTATCTCAATATTAGCATTGTGCCTGAATCCAGAACCAAATAATTTGCATGTTATTTGTGATTACCCGTAAAAGCCCACGCAGAGTATACTATCACTGCATCAGAAGTTCATAATTGAGAAACTGAACCTCAAAACAGCTGAGACCTGGAAACATGTTATAGTAACTTTCACAATAATTAAAATAATTATAGGCTGGTAATGCATAAAATCTAGTGCCATATTTGCTATCAAAGTGTTGAGGACACATCAGAGATACCATTCTAAAGTCACCACGAGGAACAGTGTCTCCTCAGTAGTAAGAGCACATTTTTTAGACAACTTAGAACCTGTACTTGAACCTGAGTCATAATAACTGTGAATATATATAAAAGTAGACCTAATCCATCATTTTTCCTGATCATGATTTTCACTGATATAAATATTTTCTTTCATAATACTATTTAGTCACACAAACAAAATCTACTTGTGTTATGTAGTTTCTGATCTCTCGGTTTTAGTCTCGCACCCCTGGTTTTACAAATACGTGTTTTTGTGGTGAGTCACCACAGATCATGTGGGAAGCAAGTGGAGTTTAATTAAAATAAATAAAATTATGTGCCTGTAATCACCAACCTTCAAGAAATTAAAATATTGATGACTCAGCTCCAATTAAATTAGGGTGGACTGTTTGAAAATGTTTTTCTCTGCTTAAAACAACATCATCACACTGAAGAAGAAGCACATTGATCAACCCTTCTCACACCCTCTATCTTCAAAGTTGTTTTCTTCCTAAAGAAAAATTCACAGAAATGTTATCTAGATTCTTTTAAAGTCCCAGATCCTTCAAATAAGGATGTTATTGGAGATAAAATCCATACTTAATTAGAATTTATCAGACCCTTGTTATATACGCCCCCACTCCAGTTATTTTTAAGAGAGCAAAATGGGACTCACATCTGACCTCCCACAATAGTTACTGAAATTGCAGCTAAAATGCAGAGTTGGACAGCTGACTTTATACTGCTTACCCCTCGAAGCAGGGTCTGGAAACAGTTCTGATTTAAGCTCATTGTACTAATTACTGTAAGCTCCTTCATGAGTGGGATAATAATTGCTCCACTAATTGTTGCCCTGAAAGTGGAATAACTACAATGAAGTTGTCTTAAGTCGTTGCATGTGTGCTTAATAACTGAAGTTAAGCAGTGTCCATTTTTCAATTAGTACATAAGGATGTATATTAGTCTATAATTAGGCTAATATATTTAATATATATTAGTCTATTAAGATGGGAATAATACTTCTGGTGCACAAAAGTACTTAATTATGATTATTGATATGCTATCTTTATAACATCTGTATAGAAAGACAAAGGAACACTGGTTATCTATCCTTTAGCTTAACGTTACCCTTGAATTACTGTCTGGGAGCTTTTTTTTTCTTTTCCATTTTCTAATCCAATCTTCTATTGTTGTTCTCATCTTAACTAGAGTCTTCTGAACTCAGAAGTTGTTTTGTATAAAAGCTGTAGATTCTCTACAGAACCTAAGTCATGCTGTATGCAGATAGACAAATCTATTTAAGAACCACCTGGATTTCATTTATAGTCATCATACAAAAATAAACCTTTGCTCAATTAGCTGGAATGTCTTTTTTAAAAAGGTAATTTTAAATAGCAGTAATCGGAGGCACATTACCTCTTCACTGTATCATCAACTGCTCTATAATTGTTGGGCCGTAGTTACCTAGTATCGAGAACATAAAGTTAAACACATTTCAATATAATCTTATCCATTGCAATATCTGAAGAGACACATTTCAGTGGGTTTTGTACTGTCAGATGCCTCCATAAAAATTCATGCAAATGAAATAACAGATTGCAGACCTGGATATATTCTGATTTTTCAAGAAGTAGAAATACTTTCAAATGCGCTTTCTCACCTAGCGAGCTAATTTTAATGTGTTGGTCATATTTCAAGCAGAAAGTGAATATTCATCTAGGAGTAGTAACAATACTTTTATTGTGTTGAGCAGATTGAATCAGATAATGCAGTGTCATTTATAATGACTTTTTATGTTTTCTATAGGTGGATAAGCGGACCAGCTGTAGTCAATGCATTTTATTCTTCAGGCAGTAATCAGATAGGTAAGACCTATTCCTAAATAATTATTTATTATTCTTTTGTTGTTTTCAACCTGTAGTGAATTGCATGACCGATTTATAATACTACCCATAAAAGCATAGCTGACACTGAGTTACTGATTTATTGAATATGCTCTTTAAAAGTAAATTTATTTATGTATCTCTTTTAAATTAGTACAAATCACATTAAGTAATTTTTTAAAGCAATATTCTCATTTTTAGCTAAATGGGTTTTTTCTAAGTACTTTTTTTTATTTCTAAATATATTTTTAAAGTCCCATATATCTCTATAAAGTTATATTGATTTTAAGACTTCCTAAGTATCAGCATCTTAAAGTGGTTCCAGGTTCCAAGGACCAACTTTTCAGAGATTTAATTTCCCTGGCAATTCTGTATTCTGGCTTTTGTGGAAATGGTCCTGTTCCATATCATCTTTTTTTCTAGAAGACTCTGTGGGGTTCAAAAAGTTCAAAAGTCAATTATATTAGGTTGAACTATATGAAATTATATTTACTTAACCACTTTTGACCAAAGAGAAAAAAATTCTTTTGTTCACTAATAGTAATATGGCAGAAATATGCATAGAAATTAATACATGAATAAATGATATATTGAATAACTAAATGGCATTATATACAAAGATGTATTTTTCTCTTCCTAGGAAAACCTTGACATCTTTTTTTCTCTTAAGTATCACATAAATGGGTGCGTTTTTCCCTAAGGGCTTCGAGTGTGTAGAAAAGCAACCATCTGATTCAATACTATGAGAGGTGTTCTTAACAGTACATCCAGCTTCTCCAGGCATACTCTGTCCTGCCTGGTAATTCTAAGTATGGTCAAGAATCAGGAAGGAAGACAATTTCAGCATTATTCTAAACTACTCTTTTTATATCTCAGTCTGCCCTAAGCATCATTTTTCTTTTCTTAAAATATATCTTTATTGATTTCAGAGAGAGGAAGGGAGAGGGAGAGAGAGAGAGAAACATCAATGATGAGAGAGTCATTGATCAGCTGCCTCCTGCACGCCCCTGACTAGGGACGGAGCCCGCAACCCGGGCATGTGCCCTGACCGGGAATCGAACCACAATCTACTGGACCCTAGGTCGGTGCTCAACTGCTGAGCGACGCCCGGCCAGGCTCATTTTTCTTGAACTCTGTTACTAATTAGATTAGAAGTGATGAAAAATCATATAAGATTTTTACCATTGGTTAAAAAATAAACTTCCAAAGCAATTGAAAACCTTATTTTATTTGAAAGTTTGATTACAACTTTCCTCATTGCTTTTAAACCTAGAAAGAGTTAAATTTAGAAGGTATCTACCTTTTCTTTTGGATTTTTATGGTTTTTATTTTTTGAATTAATCTTTAACCCAGCTGGAATTTATTTTGGTATGTGACATGAAAATGATCTATAATCAGAAAAGTTTGTCTTTATCGAACACGTAGATAGTAAGTAAGGCATGCACACTGGGTTAAAATCAATTGGCTCAAATTCTTTTCTAGGCTAACGCATTTCCCAGCTAGTGAAATGATTACCTAAACTCAGACCAGAGCCTGTTTAATGATCAGCCCAGAACCCATGCAGTCTGTCCTTTGTAATATAGTCCTAGACATCATTTCTTAGAAGTGCCTTTACTGCTAGAGAGTCTTTACTTTTAAGACCTCTTTTTTATATTCAGTAATTCTGTCCTTGTAACATCTAGTTCATTCTAGACTGGGACTTAAATGGGATAAATAACTTTTAATGGAACCCCAAGGCAAAGCAAGGCAGCCTGGATTTTGGTTCTGCATTCCGGGTGACTAAGGGACGCAGTTTCATTTTAATCCAATGCAGGAAGGGCCCTGGATCCTATCAGACCTGGTGCTGAGTCAGCCCAACAAGAAGAGCCAGCCAGACCCTCCATAGGACCAGGCTGGTGTGCCCAGCCCTTCAGCTCTCCTCTAGAACAGGTCCGCGTAGTTCATGTCCAGACAGAACCTTGTTTGGCTCTGAATTACCCCATATTCCTGGAGCTGGCTCAAAATTGGTCCATGTCAGAGATTCCCTTATCAGAGAAGACTTGGGAATGTTCCCATTTTGTGTTTAATACTCTCAAACCAAACAAGCTGACAGCAAAAAGTAAAAGGAGATAAAAATGGCCTAACATTTCACGAAGTAGACCATTATCCTCTGAATAACCAAGAATCGACTACAATAAACATTCTTAATATATAACAAAGGCCTTTTAAAAATTCTTAAGATAAATTCATCTGAAGGAAATATGAAATTTTAAAAAATTGTTAACTTCTTTTCATATGCTTGTCTGCTAATAACAGCAGTTCAGAAAAGGGAAAGTGTCATTTGAGAGGAGGAATCTTTGAGATGAGACGTTTTCTTTTTGACAATTCATTGAAATCATCAAAGTGGGGATTGTCTTACTAAAAATAATTGAAGATCCTGATCTCCATCTTAATTCTTGATAAATGGGGGGGTGAGGGCTGTACACACATAAATATATAATGTTTGCAGCATTGTCTCAGTGCATTTGGTGTCTTGTGCATTACAGAATTAGAACTGGGGTAAAATAGCATGTGCCTCATAAATGACCCTCCCGCCTTCACTCAATGCCCTTAATTAAATTGCATACAATTTCTCATGAGATTGATCTTGTTATGTTATGGTAAAAAATGCTAATAATAATAACATGGTTTATTATCATATAGGGAATTATTCTTATTAATAATTTCTACTTTTTAATTCACTTGCCACCTTTTGTCATAGCTCATACATGTAGACTACATCCCAATTTTTATGCACCCCAACCACTTCACATTGATTAAAAAATAGTCAATTTCCAGAACAGCAGAGTGCACTGAAAGTGTTCAATTCACCCACTGCTTCCTATTCCTGGCACGTTTGCCCCACGGAGCTCCGGAAACCTTTCCTACTATTAGGCAAGTTGCACACGAATGTTTTGTCAAATGTTTCCCTGTAAGTTCCAGGCACTGTTCAGTCATTATGTTAAACCTTAAAATCTTATCCAAGGATATGATCACGTCAGAAGGGAAGACTTACTACTGCTGCATTCCCCTTTTCCATTAACAGTCAAATTTTTTTTTTCAGCTTTAGGAAATCTATGGATTATCCAGCCTTGGTGGTCCATGACTATCTCGAGATAATAAAATTTTCTAAAGTTGTCTTCTTGGAGTCTTATTTTCAGACTTGAAAATTAAGAGTAAATATTTCCAAACATTTAATATAAAAAGAATTTAATTTTGTTATGCCCCCCCCAATTGATTTTACCTAATTGCAATCTTGAGCTTTATATCAAAGATTCTAAAATTGAATTGTGCAGCCTTAAAAACATCAACCAGGGAAGCGAGGGGGACGGGGCAGAGGGAAACAGTCTTTTGTTTCATGGACTAATGACTTATTTAATTAACTAACTTGTTGACGTTTGTAAAAAATGCACATCTAAGCAGTTGGTTATTATGAACAGTTGTGAAGTCTAGTAAAAGTGATAAAGCTAATGGCAAAAAGCCTCGTCATAGGGGTTTAGCTGACAAACGAAAAGGAGAAATCATCATTTACAAAGCTGAACTTGAAGACTAGTATTTAATAGAGCCATAAAAATCTTATCGCTTGCCTGAAGAGCGGCGTAGCAGGGTATAATTAAAGCAGCAGGATCTTTACAGATAATGCTCAGTCTTGCTAGCGTGTTTCATAAGAGCACTTAGATAATGGGTGGATTCAACCAAGTACATAGCGTGGAAGATAATGTTCACTTTAAGCTAATAAAGTACTGCACGTAATTCTAATACTTTAAGCTAAAAATTATTTCTTGGCACTGTCAATAGCTCAGGCAGCCACATGTGAGGTGTAACTTTCATCGAAATTCACCAAGGACAGAAGGTTTTGGTGGTTTGTCTGCTATTTTGTCAGTTTGAATGTTATAGCGACTTTACAGATTTTTTTAAAGGTCTGGCAAGCACTTAAATTGCCCAGTGTATTTTTTAAATCTCCTCTGTAAATATCTCATGTTTATACCTGAAACACATGCAAGCCTGTATCTTGTTCACCCTGCCTGAAAGGCAAAGAAACAACCTTTGCTCCTCTGTGTTAACTAGATATTAAATTTTTTAAGGTCAGGGCCCTTCTCTTGTATTCCTGGTATCCCACACAGCAGTGGCCCAGGGCTTTGCAAGTAATAGATATTAGACTAATGATATTTTTTGTTACAGAACATAATGTTTCGGTTATTCAGTGGATACTAGAGTTTTAAAACATGAAAGATAAAATTACTAAATTATGAGCATTATGAAAGAGTTGCATGAGGGAGCGGGCGAGTAGGAGAGAGCCGTGGGGCCAGGCCAGGCAGGAGAGCCTGTGTTTAAAGCGCCGTGAGAAACTGGCCGAGGCTTTCTGGCAGGGACATGGTCGTGAGCTGAGTTGCACGTCAATTGGGCTGCAGGATAGATTAGGTTTAGGTGAAGCAGGAAATGGGAAGAGCAATTGGGAAATTAACTGGAGGGCAGGAATGAGAGTGACGGAGGATGGGGTTGGTGAGGGGTAGGAGGAGAGACAGGAGCTGCCCCTGGAAGGGAGAGGCGTGACCGGCCTTCTCAGGAGACTGTATACGACTTGGTTAAAGAAAGGAGGCATCTAAGTAAGATAAGTAGAAAATGTTCACTTTGGGTGAACTGAGGCCCTTCAAATGCCATTAATAGAAATAATCAAGTCAGGAGAGGGGAAAATAAGGAGTTTGATGTCTGACACATGAAATTCAAAGAGCTAGTAAGACATCTAAGTGTAGAAAGTCAGCAAGTTAAGGTGGATGTCAGAGCAGACCTATAAAAAGTGTTACTTACTAAAGTCTCCAGGGCACCATAGTAAATGTATTTATTCACCCATTTATTATTGGTTATTCATGTATTCAACACACTTTATAAGCACCTAGAATGTTCCAGGCACTATTCTTGTTTTCTATGCTAGAGGTGGTGAACTGGAAAAAACAGGTGAACTCAAAACAAACATATGTATAGACACAGAAATCTCTGCTCTCTAAGGGCTATTAGTGCAGGTGCTGGGGGGTGGGACAGTCAAGAAAAAGAACAACAATCACAGATATGGAAATAAAGTCATAGATTTCTTAATGAAAATAAAATACAGTTATGTGATTGAGGATAACTTGGATTGAGTGGCTATTTATTTAATAAGCTATGGAAGATGGGTCAGATGTTAGGAATAATGTTAAAAGTATTACCTGTGATATTAAGTAACTATTTCTCCCAAATATTTACAATGGGGAAAAGACCTTCTGAATGAAGATGATCCTTTCCCCTTGTTCTAAACTCCTTATGGCGGAAAACAATCTTACTAGAGATTGTCAAGTAAATTGTGATTATAAATCACAGATTAATGGTGTCACTCCAGGATGAACTCTGTTGTCATCAATAACAAAAGACCTGCGTGTGTTTCTATCCCAAAAGATTTTTGTATATAATTAAGTGAAACGGACATCCTGGAAAACAGTTTAGCAGGCAAGAAGCCAACCCCAGGCCTGTCATCCCAAAATAAAGCCACAAATAATCCTCACCCATCGCCTTTCCTTGTAGTCTTCCCGGCTGGCATCCTGCAGCCCCCCTTCTTCAGCGCCCAGCAGTCTAACTCGTTGAACTACGGGGGCATCGGCATGGTCATAGGACACGAAATCACCCACGGCTTCGACGACAGTGGTAAGGTGCAGTGGACATTCCTTTGACTGAGATGTAGCCTAGTAAACCTGATTAAAAGTTGTTGTAATTTATCAATACAAAATCACATTTATTCACCCATGTATCGTTGGCCTCATAATCACCACGTTTACTGTTCCTTTTAAATTGTTCCTTAAGAAGATCAGAAATTTCTAGTAGTGAGGTAAGCAGTGTGCAGTTCACTCTCTGATGGAGTGAAGCAAATATCTGCATTGAGAAAACAGCGATGATAATAGTTGGTCTTATTTCATGAGTTTTGACGTCTTTGTTCTCCAGCCTTTTAGAGGGCAGGGTCCACGGCTTAAAGTCAGATATCAGAAATTAAATATTAAGGTGCCTGTAAGCCATAAGAGTCTTAAACTGTGGCATGTGGCTTCTTCCTTCCTCTCACCCCCGTCTTATACCTGCTGCCTAGTTTAGGGCTTTGCAAAGGGTGGGCACTTAAATGTTTATATACTGCAAAATAGATTTTTGATTGGCAAAATAGATTTTTGATTGGCAAAATAGATTTAGAGTTTAGGAGATATGTGAAAAGGTGATAGAATGGTTTGCAAGGGGAAAGGAAATAGGGAGAGAAAATAATTACGCCTAACTAGACCTTTAGAAATCCAGAGAAAGAAACTTACTAAGTGTCTCTTATAAATTAACTCTACAACAATCTTAACAGGTAGGTACTTATACTATTTCCATTTTTTTAATGGAAAAAATAGAGACACATAAAAGACTTGCTTAAAGTTACAAAGCTAGGAATTAGTGGAAGCAGGATGTGAGTTCAAGTAGTTTGTCTTCATAGCCCTTCTCTTACTTACTGCATCGTAGATAACTATTAAAAAGATGATAAAATTCAGTGTCAAGACATATGACCGATAAATGCCACTGTATCTCACAAAAGGAAAAGATCAATGGATTTAGGGTCAGCAGGGAAGCTCAAGGGGGAAAGGTGGCTTATTCCCTGTGCTTGAAATAGAGGGAAGCTGAATCCACAATGTGTCACGAGAGTCTGAGATATGAAATGAATGCTGGAATAAAAATACTGACCTTTTAAAATCTCAAAATGTCAAATTAAACAGACATGGTTTAAGTGAAAACCACCTAACAGAAATAAGGCATTATTTCAGGAGTGTTTACCTGATGGCCTCAGCTGAGCTCTTAAGAGCCAAGTAGGTGAACTATCTGAATTATCTAAGGCATATCAGCAAAGAAAACCCTGGCAGTCCAGGTTTCATCAACTCTGAATTAGAAAAGATAACAGTTCCTCTCATTATCTGTTCAATTTAATGTCTTCTCACACAGTGGTATTTCAGTTCTTGCGCTTTGAATTAAAAATACCTTATTGTAATTCTTGATGTAATGAGTTCTCATTTTACTTGAATAAATATATTCTAGGCAGGAATTTTAATAAGGATGGAGACCTCGTTGACTGGTGGACACAACAGTCTGCAAATAATTTCAAAGACCAATCCGAATGCATGGTGCACCAGTACGGAAACTTCTCCTGGGACCTAGCAGGTGGACAGCATGTATGTCATCAACATTCTCTTAAAAAGTTTTAGATGTGTCCAATCTTAAGTGAATCACTGATGCTTTCTTAACAATCAGAATACAGTTAAGGGTCTTTTTTTTTTTTTTTTTTTTAACAGCTCAATGGAATTAATACACTGGGAGAAAACATTGCTGATAATGGAGGTATTGGTCAAGCATACAGAGTGAGTAATAATATTTTTCCCCATTTTAGTGATTAGAGTGTATATTTATCATATTTAATTATTCATTTAGAGCATTTTGCAAAAGACACATAATGTAAACAACAAAAGGTGAAAATGGAAAATAGTAGGAGAAAGGGGATTGTAAATGTGCTACCAACAAGGGCAATACAGTTGTGGCTGAGCTGAACACAAGAAGCTGAGGAGAGGAAACACAGAACATTGTATCAACAGAAATGAGGGGATAGGCAAGTCGCCGAGGAGTCAACTTTTTTCTAAGAAATAATCTCTGAAATAAATGTACAACAGAAGAGCCTCCATAAAAAGAATTATTTCAGAATCATTGATCAATGTACTAAACAGGACCTTATGTTTCACAGTGGGGGAAGCAGTATTTGGGAACCAGAGTCAGCGTAAACCACAAGCAAAATATTAAACCACAATCCAGCTACGATGATACAGCGAGGGACTAAAGGTCACGGCTTCAGCATGTGGCCTTTTAGTCATCCGAGCTATTATAGCCAGAGGAGTTTATCACAAAGCGTTGCTTAGATTCTCGGTTAGCCTTCCACTAATTCGTACATTCAGCAAACACTTGTCGAGGGCTTTACTGTGTGTTTGGCACTATTCTGGGTACTGAAGATACAGCTGTGAGCCCGCCCTAAATAATGTCATTACTTGATAATTTGGATTGAAGGATGGGCCCCAAGAAAAGGTAGGATTTTCACAAAGAGTAGAGGAATAGCTTTCTTGGAAACAGCAATGAGGAGTGAGGGTAATGTTGAGGGCTTCTTCCAGCCCCGGGCTAGCCCAGATGTGGGAGAATGAGCAGAGTCTACTTGAGAAGACACGGGACAGGGTGTCCCCTTGATGAGATGAATCGAATGTTCCATGGAGTAGATGAGGGTGTAGGGTTATTTGCTCACCATAGAAGCCTTTGGGTCAGAGGTGGGGGTGGAAAGCCTCAGTAGTCAGGTGGGGAAAGGAGAGGACATCAGAGCCATGGGGAGAGGACCTGTGGGGCCTGTGACTTGGCAGTGGACGTGGTGGATGACCAGCGCCTGAGACCTGGGAGATGAAGATGGCAGCAAGTCTCCACCAAGACCGGAGATGGGAAATGGCTGCTTTGGGTGCTTGGTGGTTTTTTTACTAGATGCCAAACATTGTGTATTTTATGTCTTTGGGAGCTAAATATTTTTTGTTTTCCTATAAATATTTTTGAGCTTTATTCTAAGACGTGGCTAAATTCCTCAGAAATGGCTTGGTCCTGTTGCATCTTGTTTTTATAACTTGTTAGGTGGGACTAGAAAAGTGCTCCGTGTAAAGACAGTTACTCTCCCCTGCTGAGGCAAGACCCTACTGTGTGCATCTGGAGGTCTTTCCCTTCTGTTGGGTGTGCACACCAGACATTTTTATCTCCAGTCCTTGGTCGTGGTTCCTTCACTGGCCTGGGGTGGTTTGTTCGTGTGCATACTCACATTCTCAGCTGAGTACCTGAGGGGGCCAGCTGATCGCTTGGGATCCTCTACCTGGGCAGCTTTCCCTCTTCAGTGCTGTGTTCTTGGTGTCCCTGAACTTTTTTCCCTCAACTCTGAGTCTCTTAAACTCTGATTGGTTTCCCCTTCTCTATGTTGTAGCTTAGAAACACTGAAGGCAATAAGCTGGGGCAATCACAGGGCTCATCTTATTTGTTCACCATCTCACAGAGGTCACTGTCCTTTTTCCCCAGTGTCCAGTGTCATACAAGCCATTTTGTCCATCCTTTGGTTGTTTCAGCAGGACGGTGGTTGAACCAGTCCCTGTCCCTCCATCTTACCTGGAAGAGGAAGACATTGGCACTCTTAATACTCCTATAGTTATTCTAATATACCACCAGATTAAGAATCACTGCTTTAAAAGTCCAGCCCAAATCTGGGTTGATGGCACTTCCATGGAGATTCTCATCTAAAATAAGTAAAGAATTATAATGCAGCAAAAAAACATTTGTGCAAACATTTTATTATACATGAAATTATACTATCTAATGCCCTCTCCCCTACTAGACTGTAATCTCCCTAAGAGGGAACAGGCTCAAGTATTCCCCGTTTCCCCAGTATCTTTCCATGGTAGAGACTCAATAAACCTATGGTAGTGGCAAGTAGAAAGAAATGAAATACATCTTCTGCTTATCTAATTGATCACTTTCCTTTGTAATAAATAGGAAGTGACTCATCTCAAAAAGTTTGTCGTCAATCCCTTACGTATATTTAAGTACAAGAATGCAACATTTTTCAGCAGTGTCTATAAATCCTTAAGAACGGAAAACACTTTTTGACATTCAAATAACCTAAATTCCTTTTTCCTAACATAACTAAAGTTCACTTTGGTTTGCCCTGTCTTCAAGGAGCCAAAATAATTGCTCATCCTTATTTTTAGAATCCTAGGATATTAGTTCTCTAAGGGATCTTAAGAGAATCCCTTGGCAAGAATCACTCACTCAAAGTCTGGTGTGAGTATATTTTGCTAAGAGTAGCAACTGAGCTAAATATAGCAGTTACAGACTCCCTGGGCAATCCATTCTTCCAACTAGCTGGGCTTATCCATCTATCAATAGAACAACATTTACGTAAGCTTTTCATTGCTTATTTAAGTCATCCATTCATTTAACTGACATTTGTTGATCCTTTGACATGTGCTGGGCTCTTGTCATTTGTCAATCAACGTCCCGTTCTTTCCTAAACATTTGTAAATAAACTCTAGCTTTCTTTCTAATTTATGAAATAGTTGTAGGTTGCCATATCTAAATATATTATGATGATTCTGATACAAAAAAGTTAATTACTTGGTCACTGGCCTTTTGTATAGATTAATATATGCATTTAGAAATTATAAACATCATGTTTCTGTTTCATTAACTGCCTAGGCCTATCAAAATTATGTTAAAAAGAATGGCGAAGAAAAATTACTTCCTGGACTTGACCTAAATCACAAACAACTATTCTTCTTGAACTTTGCTCAGGTATGGTATCTCTCTTGATTGATAGATACGAAAATCATTTTGAGTTATAATTTATAGTAAATTAGATAATGCATGCTGAGTTTTCTTGTTTTAATCAATTGTGGCAGATTGTTTGACTTAACTAAATTTTTTTGTGTATAACAGACTGTCAAATTATATTAATAATAATTATGCTCTTGATTGCCTATCCTTGAACATTATTTGAAGAGTAAATGGTTGAGGAATGCAGAATTCCAATTTAATTTTTACAGTAGGAAGTTTGCTTCTTTCCCAGCGTGTCCCAAAAAGTAAGTAGTATCCTTGATTAAACCTAAGCACAAGATTTCCATTTTCTATTCCTATTTCTAGGTATGGTGTGGGACCTACAGGCCAGAGTATGCAGTCAACTCCATTAAAACAGATGCCCACAGTCCAGGCAATTTCAGGTGCGTGGGTTTGAACAACAAAGCCAAAGTGCTCCAACATTGGCTCCATTCCTTCCAATTTTGGAAATTGGCCTTTTCTAACTCTGATTCTATACAATTTGGAAATCCAGTGTTGTTGTTTTTCTTCCCTTTTAAGAGTCGCAGACAGGATCAACAGAACAGATCAGCGTTAAGGTCATGTTTACACAAGTATAGCCTTCACTGCTCTTATCCTCAGAATATACGTGACCTAGTCTCAGAGCTTGATGGATTCCAAAAAAGCTGTCACCTCAGAACAGTGGCTCTATTTACAGCAGCACAAAGACATTTCTAAGAGGCTGTGAAAGGTTTAGGTCTAGGACAATGGGTAGCTTTCCCCAAGAAAGATTTCCATTCAGCATAAAGGGAAGCTTCCTAGTAATTAGAACACAGTGGAAGGTTGAGTTAGAAGATATCTAAAGCCCTTCTCAAATCAGAAAATCTCTGAGAACATTGGATTGAAAGAGAATCACTCTAACCAACATTTGAATGTTAAAGCCGTAACAATCGAATTTGTCAAAGTTCTGCCCTGCCTGTCCCCATGACCTAAAGCATATATCTATAGAAACCTTCGTGAATTTAAGTAATGTTATTGTAAAACCTCGGACATCTGGTGTCCTTGGAAAAAGGGTGTTGCAAATTAATTTTTTGGTAGCTAAAATTTGTCTCTTGAGTATTAACATCTGTATCTTAACCACTGGGTTAAAAATTTCTCTGTTGCAAATACATTTTCTACCTTCCTGCCTTATTAACACAATATCCTGAACAAAAACTGTTTTGTTTTTGATGACACAGACTATTGTTATGACTAATAGCTATGGTTTCACTGTTTATTAGTTTAGTGAAGTCCTCCAAAGCTAGCATGTGGGGAGCTACTTATTTCTACAGTGAAGCCACAAATGTTGATGCTTTTTGACTTTTCATTTTGGCTTCTAATTCGGGGTTTTCTGTTTGCTTCTCTAATTCTCTTTATTCCATTTCCTGCCTTTGGCTGTCCCCTCCCTGCATTCTGATTAGCTCAGGAAACATCCCCTTCTACTTGCATTGTATAAAGTGAATTCCAACCATGGCTTTGCCACTTAGGAACTGTTACTCAACCTCTGTGTCTCAATTTCTTGATGTATAAAGTGAGGATTAAATTATTATGAGAGTTGCTACAAGGATTAATGTAATGTTTCTGAAGTGCCTATTCCATATTTCTGTTTGAAAATTGATACTAGGGTTGGTTTTTAAATAAGAAAGGTATGAATAGAATAAGAATTTCTATGAATAAAGTATATTGACTTTGCAGCATTCCGTGTTTCCTGACAGTCAAGAGCTTTCTGTTGTTCATTTAAGTCTGGATAGTTCAGCATGTTAATCACTGATCGCTGGTTAAGTGACATGTAGGTAAATATGTAACTGTTTTCTCCCACCAATTATAAACTGAAAATAATTTTATTATAATTAAATTTTGTATTTGTAAAAATATTTATTATAAATACGTGAAATTATTTGCAACTCCCATTTTCTTTGTTCTGACCCAAAAGATGTCTCTCTATTTTTCATTCATAATAAGAGAAGTCTGTGGTGTTGTTTTTTAAAGGGTAAATGGAATGCCAACCTTTTGTCAAGGAAATTATTTTCTCTGGAGGTAAAGGGATTTCCTTGGCAAAAGGTTGAGGTTACATTTAGTTTTGGAAACAGGCCGCTTCCTGGCTGTACAAAGTAAAACATATTTTTTTAAAGAACCTTGAAAACTAAGAGACGTGGAGTTGCTATTGAAAGATTGTGTATAGTGGTTTGTGTAGAAGTTTCTGAAATAGAGGAGTTTTTGTACTCTGAAGCTCACACAGCTGCAGTATGAAAAACTAAAGGCAAATTATACTTGATATAAAGCTGAATCTGTAAACCATTCGTTAGGTCTAGGCTATACTTTTTCTATTCTAAAGTCTTATGTACTTTAAAATGAGCATCTAAAGTATTAGTATTTAAAACAAAAACATTTCCCCTTGATATTCTAGAAATCGAATTTGCATTTTAATGACTTCTTTCAGTCACTTCAGGGAATGGTTGTTATGATAATATTTGCTATGTAATCTGTAAATGTGTTTATAAAGTTATTTAGATGGAATATTTCTACATAATATAGAAGGCTCTGGTAATTTTTTAAAGCAAGTCCAAATAGACCAGATGATACCTGTGTGTATTCTACCTAAATAGTAACAGTGCTAATTTAAATATTTAGATTGCTTGATACTATTTTTCTAGTCGGAAAAAAAAAAGGATTTTATAGAACTAACACTACTAGTAATGCAAGTATTTCCACAGCTTTCTTTCTAATATTTTTGAAAGAATATCCTTTCTAGTGTTTATGCAGACATTTTCAAGTACCATGGCTATTTTGTTCTTCGTGATTCCATGATTTAGCATGTTTAAAACAAACCCTCTTTGAAATACTGATATTTTCTCCATTTATCTTAAATATTAGCATTGGTTTCTGATATTTTGTAAAGATCAGTATGGATTTTGGCGAGCCTTGTAGAATTCCCATTAGTACTGATTAATTTTTAGCCCTTGCCTAGGAATCTTTTCTGGCATTTATTTCTTTATCAATTTATATGGAACATATGCTGATCAATGTGACCTTACTTTAAAAGAAGCATGAACATTAGTTAATGGCAAAGATTGGATAGGTTTTTTTCATGAATGAAACTAATTAATCTTTTAGCCAAGTCATTCATTAAAAGAAGTAATAACGGGTTGTCAGAGGACCCATGAAATTCAAAAAGCTCATTCAGTAATTCAAAAATCCATTTAATTGTAGACAGGAGTAGTCAGATAAGTCATAGGATTCCAAGTCCATTCTTGGTCGCATGATGTTCAACTCTGTATCTCTTAGATATTTTGTTTGTTTGTTTCTATGTTTTCCAGGTTTATTGGGAAATAGGTGGTAGGCATCACTCTGTAAGTTTAAGGCATAGAGCATGATTGTTTGATTTACATATATTATGAAACGATCACCACAATGGGTTCCGCTAACTTCCATAACTGTTCCCTCCTTTTTGACCACCTTCTTTCAAGTCCCTCTCCCCCCGCCCTCCACCTGTAGATGTTTTTAATGTAAGTGATTATTTGCCAAGAGAAAAAACAGCAGTACAACAAAATAGTTTATGCAATAAAGTAAACATTTCAAGTAACACAAAAACTACATGCTTCTCTTAATTCTGTCAGTAGTCTTTGTAATATTAATGAAACACAAGCCCACTCTTAGAGAAGGGATTCATTTTTTATTAATAACATATCCATGTTTTGAAATAGAGTATCTATGTCATCCACGCAAAGATCTGATGTTATAAACAACCAAGCAATACCTAGAATCCTAGGAAAGTAAATGGAGCCCAGGTATGTTGTTGAGCGAATTGTTCAGAATCAAATTACCTAAGTGAAGTTTTGGCTGGAAGGAGAGGAGATGGGATGGAGGCGGGGAGCGGAGTGTGTGTTAGGTTGAGTATTGCTGCATTGCTATCTCCTAGTGATGTTCTGTGACGACTTTCTTGTTTTGAGGTGTCCCTTTTTTTTCATTTTATTTCTTTAATGTTCTTAAGAGGTATATAGAATAAGCCATGGGTCTGGACATTTTTACTGAAGTACTTGTCCTCAGGTGATTCTATCTCAGACACAATCCTTTGAAAAAAAGTATTTAATAAAATAAACACAGAAAAAGCAACCCTTCCAGTCAGTGACTCTCAGTTGCTTCTCTGTCAGTCCATCTGGGAGCTTGTCCCTCAGATGGAAGGACAGTCAGGTCATCGTGATGACTGTACCCAGCCAGTGTATAGGACTTCCTAAAGTAGGTAGGGGATTGGAGTAAATTAACCAAAACTCTCTTTAACTCAGAGTCTGTGGGCTTAGAGCCTAAAATACTAAAGACCTATACAAATCTCTAATGTCTAAATCTTTTCATTCCTCCATATACTATCATTTTTGACCATGTATCGAGTGCAATTGTTCTGAACTTTCAGATGTAAGAAATGACACACTTTCATTATTACTTTTGCAACAAATTAATTCAAGCTCTAAGCTCCCACCCTAAGCCAGGAGGTGAGGAATTTAATTCAGTAGTTTTCAGTGTACGCCTTTCTAGGTTTATACAGGAATCAAAGGCATCATGTGAGCCCAGAAACCAGGGAAGAGCCTCCCCACCTCCACCTTGCTGTGGCCACCTGCTGACACTCTTGTAATCCAAGGGCTCCACCTGAAGTCAGGTGGCTCTATCGCCTTCCAGTGGTCATGGGCATGGGCCACAGGAGCCACCACTATCGATGTTCAGGTCCCCAGACAGCCACACACCATCCTATCAGCGGTTTTCTCAGGGCCCTGCTCAGAGTGGAGGCGTGCCCAGTGTTTCACACAACCCAGCATTACTGGGCCCCTCAGGCTTGGGGGAGTGGGCCAGCCGTCTCCCTCTCAAGTGGACTAGTAGATGTCCGTTCCCCAGCCCTGGCTTCCATCCCTCTTCAACCCCCCCCCCCCA